CTCTGATCATTACAAGGAGAAACACAGGTGGGCGGGCGAGGGGGCGTGTCTGGTACGGGGGCGGGAGGGGGCTGCCTCTCCGCTCTGATGTCATCCAGAGAGCAACAGCGTGCGGGTAGGTGGACGGGTGAGGGGGCGGGAGGGAGCTGCTGCCGGTCTTCACATGTGAAATTGAATTACATGCGCAGCTACCCCGAAGGTAAGACCTAGCGCTATCTTCGGGGATTTCTGTAATATAAGACCTACCCCGAACTAGGTCTTATTTTCGGGGTAGGTCTTATATTACAGAAATCCCCGAAGATAGCACTAGGTCTTATTTTCGGGGTAGGTCTTTTCGGGGAAACACGGTAGAACAATTCATAGTAAGTCACTTAGGGGAATAGGGAAAAGATCAGCTGTTAAGGGACCTAAAAGCAATTCTGGTGACCTAGTCCTTCACAGTTACAGCCGCTGATCTTAACCCCAACAGCACCGAAAGACAGGGTTCACTATCATGCTCCATCCACCCACGGTACAAGGAAGAGTTTTGCTAATTCTCCCCAGTGCCATCTAGGGGAACTAGTGCTGTGCAAGTAGCATCCACCCAGATATATGCTGGGTGGAAGCGTTATAAATAAACCCAAAAGTGTCTCTTTTTTATTATTCTTGTAACACAAACTGTAAAGTAAAGTTTTTAATTGTGGAATTCTTTATAATACTAATGGTTTACCACATTTAATGATAATATATTATAAAATATGTACTTTGTACTTTAATCATCTTGCTATTTTCTTAAAGGAAGCCTTTTCTGAGTGATTTATGTAGGTAGCCAAAGTTAACTGTCAAACGATTGAAGACAGATAAAGCCAGGCAACTAGCACTTTCAGAAGGCAGTCACTAATGACTGCCTCCATATTTTACTCATTACAGGTTTCCTGTAAAAATAGTTACTATTTTTATAGGGAAGTACTCTAACGCGTCTGACATGTTTCATCCATTGACTTCCAACAGAAACACAATGCTGTCTAGACAACTACTTCCTTAAAACAGCTTAAAAATTAACCCTTACAATACTCTGGAAATCAATGGGTTAGTGGGTGAGCTGTGGCTTGGCATCAGTAAATGCAAGCACGGTGTGATATCTGATTACTGATTTGTGAAATACTCTTTCATTACTGTAGCTTGTTCAGGACTTTTTGATATGAATGAAGACATGGATATTTTTAGTTTTGAACTTAACAAGTGTATTGATTTGAGGTATGTCTTTGTAAATTCTCCTGTTTCATGTGGTTCTAATGATATAGAAATGGTACTCCAACATTTGTCATTCATTATGACAAAAGAAGCAAAAGTCTGGTGGGATTTATTTATGTTGGAAAGGTATTTATCAGCAACATCATTCCCAGGGGCTTGAAATTAGAGTTAACCCCTAATGATGGGAAAAGATCTCAAGAAGATGATTCAGAGTGGTTTTCTTTTTTAATCATTGTGGCTTTGAAGTTATGAAGTTTTGATTAAAAGAAAAAAAAGACCTAGATAGAATTAGAGGAGAAAGAGTAAAAATTAAAGCAAAACTCCAGGGAAGATTTTTCTTAACCCGTGCAGTGGGGCTATCTCCCCACTGCAAAGGTTAGGTGCTTGTTTTTGTCTAGGAAGGAAAATAAGAAAGATATACTCAGAGCTGACTTGCTGTTTGACTGGTCCCTTACGCCTGTGTCCTTCTTTGGTGCAGTGATGATGTGTCCCTCTGCATCCTCACATCCAATGCACAGTGTATAGAACGTAATGACTCACAGGACCTTAGACTGCTGTAGCGGAAGGCAGGAGAGGTGGAAGGCACCGGTCTAGGAGCAAGCCGGCTCCGAAGATCAGGTGAGTATAACTTTGTTATTTTTGAACCTTGACAAAAATGAGCACTTAAACCTTGCAGTGTCAGGGTAGCCACACTGCAAGGGTTAAGAAAAATGTTCCCCAGAATTCTGCTTTAAGGAACTATTGCCATTTTCAGAATTGGAAGAATATGAAGGATTTACTAATTAAAACAGAGAATGAGCAATGGGTAAAGAAATACAATAATTACCAAAGGGATCAGAACGATTTTGTTTAAGTTTGTGTATATGTGTGTATATATATATATATATATTAGGGTTGCACAGATACCAAGTACAGTACTC